AATTTATTTATATTTATTAGTGATAATTATTTTTTATCTAAAAAATATAATAAATTTTAACAATTAAAAGTAGATGAATAAATAGTTAAAATTTTATATAAATATGATGTATAAAACTCATGTGAATAGAGAGGTTTCTTACATACACCGCAAGAGCAAATTTTTAGTAATGAAAATTTATAATAAATTTTGAAATTGTCACTATAACTCATTATAATTGTAATATATTTCAAAATTTAATCATAAATATACACATATTTAATGATGATAAAAAATTTGTCTCTAAAAGGATATTTCATAACTAAAAATAATCATAAATATATTATAAACTTGTGATAATAAAAATTATCACTATAATTTATTATGATTATAACATATTTTAATTATTAGTCATATATATGCATATGCTCCATGTTGATTAAATAAATTAATGATTAAAAGGATATCTTTTTACTAAAAGGTAGTCATAGACACAAAACATATTTGTGACGATAAAATTCATTACTACAAATCATTATATTCATGACAAATGAAAAAAATTAATCACAAAATATACACACTTTCAATGTGGATGAAATGAATTCATTAATAGTAAAATAATGCATCATGAAAAAATAATTATAAATACAACATAAACTTCTGACGGTAAAAATTATCACTAAAAAATAATTAATTAATAATTGTAATAGATAGAATATTAGTAAAAAATATTAAATATATTTTGTAACTAAATTAGTTGATCGAAACTTTATATCTTGTGATGTTGTAATTAGTTGAGACAAATAAAAACTAATTTTTTTGTCACTACTACAAAATGTTAAATACAATTTATGTCTAATTTTTTTTGTCACTAATAACTAGTATAAAATGTAGGAAATAGGCATATTTTGTAATTTTGTTTTGTATTAAGGGTTTTTATGTAACTTTACATTTTATATAACCTAGTATAAATATGTTGCTAAGGGTGAGCAGCTCTATAAGTTGTTTTGCACCCTTCACTTTTGCCTCACTTTACATGGTATCAGAGCCGATTTCGCTAGTTCCTGAGATATCGTTGCCACCAGGGGTTTTGACTCCATAACCACTGGCCTAGTATCGGAGGTGAAGCCATTGTAGAGGAGATTTTGCCAGTTCCTAAGACATCGCCGCCACCAGGGGTTTTGACTCCATAACCACCGGCTCAATATCGAAGGTGAAGCCATTGCAGAGGATTCCGACGCTGAAGCCAAACCATATTCCTCATTTCCTGTTTTGTCACGATCATAGTGTGGATTGGAGATTGGATTTCTTGATTGGGTTTTTCATCTCGTATTGACGGTAATATCGATTACCCTTTTATTTGCTTTTCTCCTTGGTTGATTTGCATCTTGATTTGTTGCTGCGAAATTGGGTTCAATAATGACCGAGAAAAATGAGACTTTGGCTATCAAATTAGATGGAAAGAATTTTTCTTTGTGGAAATTCCATTTTCAATTCTTTGTAGAAGGCAAAGGTTTGTGGGGCTATATTGATGGAACCGAGCCTATGCCTAAAGCATCAAAAATCAAAGAACTTCAACAGTGGAAGATGAATAATGCAAAAATTGTTTCTTGGATTTTGGCTTCTGTTGATATTAATATTGGAATCCCTATGTGAGGATTTCGCACTGCTAAGGCAATGTGGGAACATCTTGAAAAGATCTATCAACAGTCAAATTGGGCTAGGAAATTTCAGATTGAATTTGACATTTTTAAATTTGCACAGGGTGATAAAAATATTCAAGACTATTATGCTGCTTTCGTGAGTCTGTGGACTGAATATGAGCAGGGGATTATGGGTGACCGTGAGGACTGTTGCTTACAGAGTTTACAAACTCTGAATGATGAAAGAAAAAGTGATGCAATTTTTGATGAAGCTAAGACCTGAATTTGAGCCGCTTCATGCCAATATATTAAACCGGGTAAAATTGCCCTCTATGGATAAGTTATTGGGAGCTCAGGTAAAATTGCCCTCTATGGATAAGTTATTGGGAGAGCTCCTTCGGGAGAAGACTAGACTTTCAACACAAGCCACGCTAGACAAAGGGGAAGCTGAAACTGCATTTGTTGCTAGTAAAACCTTGGAAAGGACATCGCAGAAGGATTTTTCTAAGGTGCAATGTTTTGAATGTCGAGAATTTGGCCATGTTGCATCTTGTTGCAAGAAGAAGAATGCTTGTGTTTATTGCAAACAATCTGGACATATTATTATAGATTATCTTGAGCTGAAGCAAAAGGGGATTAATTCCAAGCAGAAATCCAATCATCGAGTATATCAAGCAACTAGTTTTCCATGCTCTGAATCAATTCCTACACTGTCATCTGCATCATCTGCTACAAATAATCCTAGTTTTGTGGAAGGCAAAGATTCACCTATCTCAAATGAAGTTCAAAAATTGCTACAGAATTCAGTATCCTCAACTATTACTTCTGCTTTTTCTGCTATTGGTCTATCTGGTAAGAATTCAGCATTTACTTCTTTTGTAAATCCTCTTTGGTTTATTGACTCTAGTGCTTCAAATCATATGACTAGAGCTCATGCTACCTCTAGTTTAGCCAAACCTTTCCAAGGGAATAATAAAATTGAAACCGCAAATGGTAAAAAACTTGATATAATTGGTACAGATAATCTTACATTATCTGTGGCATCTCAATCCTCTTTTCATTTGCCAAATGTCTCTCTAGTACCCAAATTAACTACCAACCTAATTTCTGTTGGACAACTTCTTGATGATTTTGATCATGTTGTTTCTTTTTCTTGTTCTGGTTGTGTTATACAGGACCGTTGCACTTGGATAGTGAAAGGGAAGGGGCGTAGGATTGGTCACTTGTTTGCCTTGGAATTTGACAAAGGACATAGTGATGCTGGTTTATTTGTTTCTTCTAATAAAGATGTCTCTAGTTCTCAGAATCTTTGGCACTTATGGCATCGTAGACTTGGTCATCTCAATGTGAAGAGATTAGATACATTATGTACTTCTGGTCTTTTGAATAATAAAACTTTGCCATTGGATTCCATTGATAAATCTTGTATTAGTTGTTCTTTGAGTAAAAGTGCAAACTTACCCTTTCCAACTCATTCTTCAACTCCAACTAAACCTTTTCATTTGATACCTAGTGATGTTTGGGGTCCTTCTCCTGCTTCATCTAGATTGGGATATGAGTATTTTGTTTTATTTATCGATGATTGCACAAGATTCACATGGATATATTTTATGCGACACAAATTTGAAGTGTTCTCTCATTTTAAGACCTTTTTGTCCATGATTATAACACAATTTGATACTAATATAAAAATTCTTCGTGCTGATTATGGGGGTGAATATTTACTAAAAGAAGTTCAAGAATTTTTGAAGGTTGAGGGTATTCAGTCTCAGAGGTCATGTCCTGCTGCCCCACAGCAAAATGGTATTGCTGAAAGGAAAAATCATCATATTTTAGAGGTAGCTAGAACTTTGTTATCTAATTCTCATGCTCCTCCTAATTTTTGGGTTGAGGCTGCTTCTACGACAGTTTATCTCATTAATCATATTCCTTCTGAAGTATTGCATAACACCTCTCCATATTACTCCTTGCATAAATGTCATCTTGATTATTATCGTTTACATGTTTTTAGTTGTGTGTGCTTTGTTCATTTACCACCTCATGAAAGGACAACATTATCAAACCAAGCTGCCATGTGTGTTTTTGTTGGATATGGCGTTGATCAAAAGGGTTTCCTATGTTATGATCCAAAAATTGGTAGAATTTGTATTTCTAAACATGTGGTTTTCCTGGAAAATTTATTTTATTTTGATGCAATTGCAAAATCCAATAATTCCTCACCTTCTGTGTTGCATGACTTTTCACTTGATCATAATGCTCTAGCAGAACAAGTTTCCATTGATCAATTCCATGCAACAGATGAACAACCTCAAACTTATTCCTTTCACCAACCAGAAGATGGTACACCTGTGGATGCTCAATCAGTAAGTGATTCTAATCCTGCTTCTAATGCCTCTACTAATTCCATTGTTTCTTTACGTCGTTCTGCTCGTACTATTCGTCCACCTGATCGTCTTAACCTTTTTACCTTTGTCTCTTTGTTGACAACATTAGATTTTGTTGATATACCTCGTTTTTACCAAGAGGCTGTTAGCATTCCTTGCTGGAAGGAAGCTATGGATTCTGAATTAAGTGCCTTATTGGAGAATGATACTTGGGATATGGTACTTTGTCTTTCTAATGCGTCTATTATTGGTAGTAGGTGGGTCTTTTTTGTTAAGCTCAAAGCAGACGGTAGTATTGAGCGGTATAAAGCAAGACTTGTTGCCCAAGGTTATAAACAAGAGTATAGAATTGATTATATAGAAACATTTACACCAGTGGCTAAAATGACTACAGTGAGATTACTTATTGCTCTTTCGGCAATGCATCAGTGGCCTATTTCTCAAATGGATGTGAAGAATGCTTTTCT